AAAAAAAAAAAAAAAAACATAAAGGGTGCTATAACTTACAAAAGGCACGATGGAGGTGCGTGTTGGCTTAGAGGCGATGGATCTTGGACCAAAAGGCACGGATCCACAACGAAACATGCAAATGTCGACTGTAAATCCAAGGGGAAAAAAAAACCAGATCTGTTGCGCAGGAGAGGAGCCAACTCACTGTCTACATTTGTTTGCTATATAAACACAAACCACATAGAGATGAACAGAACAAGAACTTACAACCATACACATACACAATGGAATGGAAAAGAAAAAAAAAAAAACCAAATCTATTGTGCAGGAGAGGGGCCAACTCACCGTCAACGTCACCGACGAGATATTCCGACAACAGAGGGCTTGATGGCAAGAAGCAAGTATATCGGAGGCAACGGCAAGAACAACATTGGAGAAAACGAACCAGATCACCGTAGAGGAAGAAGAAGAAATGTGAAAAGAAAGGGGGGTTGGAAGGGTTAATTAGCTGGTATATTCGACAACATTGCTGTCGAATATATAGAGGAAACGTCTTGCTTCCTACATATTCAACAACATTGTTGTCGAATATAGCAAAACATAATTGACAGTCATTATGTTGTCGATTATACATATTCGACAAAAGAATTTCTGTTGAATATGAGTACATATTCGACAACTCTTTGTCGAATATTTTTTTGTCGCATAAGAAACAAAAAATTGATTATAAACGACAATCAAGCATATTCGATAGCATTTTTGTCGAATATGTGTTTATATTCGACAGCATTTTTGTCGAATATGTGTTTATATTCGACAGCCAACTGGCTGTCAAATATGTTCTTGTCGTTTTTGCCTGGTTTTCTAGTAGTGTCACTTTTTATCATATTTATTAAAGATAATTTATTTTTTCATATAAAAATTCGTAATAAATCTCACTATTGAAAGTTGAGATATAAATTTTATTTATGTGTTATGTGTCAAACTTGTGTAGAAATATATTCTTAATTTATTAATAATTACTTTATTTTTGAACAAAAATTCAATTTGCCAACTGCCCTTATTAATTAAGTTTAACATGAAATTTCAATGAGTAATAATTGCATTTTTTATGATCTTTGAAATTTTTTTCTAAATCATGTCAAGTTGTAATAAATAAAATGGACTTGAGGAAATAATTGTTTTCTCAAAAATCCCCTTTTTTACTGTTATATTGCAAAACAATGCAAATATTTTAGTAATTTTTTTTTAGACCGAATATTCAATCTGAAATATGGCTTTTTCTAGTAGGGAATGGGTCTAAAATGGCCTAATCAAATCAGATGACTAGGAAATAATAATAGAAATGAAATAACAATGAGAGAAAGAACAATAACAAATAAAATACTAATAAAGAGTGTGAATTACAAATATATAAAAGGAAAAAAGTAGCAAATGTATGACATGGATATAAATATAATGATGAATTGTGATATGGGAAGCTAGAGAGATGTAGTTACAAAGAAAAACTAATTAGAGGTAGAGTAAAGTGTAAAGGTAATAAAGAACAATAGTAGAAAGCTACACCTTTTATGTTTTGATTTTAAAATATTCTAATATAGACAAGCAGAAAGAGAGAAAAATTGAGGTAGAAACAAAATGATATTTAATGATAAATAGCAATACTAGTAATGACTATAAGTAAGAACAATCGAGAACAGATGCTAAAGGGAGAAAGAATAATAAAAATGTAAATCACTAATCTATAGAGGCAAAGAGAGGGTGAATGTAGGGTAGAAAGATAAATATAAAGATAAAATGTTAAGTGAGAAGTTGAGAGATTGAATTGGAAGAAAAATTAATAACAAGAGTAGAGAAAAGGCAAGTGAAAAGAAATTAGGGAATAATAAGTTGTCCCACTTATATTTTGGCCAAAAAACATTCTTATATAGACAACATGAGAGAAAGAAAAATTAGATCAAAACAAAGATATATAATGATAGATGGATAATGATAGATGGATATGCAAGGAGTAACTAAATATTACTAATATAGAAGGAAAGACAAAGGAGAGGAGAGAATAATAACAAACAAATTAAATATTAACAATACTAGAAAACAAGGTTTAATCGACAGAAATTTTTGTCGATTATAAGAGAAATTCTATTAATTATAGGTATAATTAATTGACATAATCGACAGTTAAATTTGTTGAATAAACAAGGATCGAAAATAGTATAATCGATGAAAATGTATTTTGTTGATTGTACTTGTTCCAACAATAAAAAATATTTAGAATTAAAAAATGTAGACTTAAATTTTTAGTTATGTAGTTATTAATTAAATTATAAAGTCATTAAACAAAATTCAATGAGAAAATCAATCAAGTGCAACAATAATATGTATAAAATAATTTTGAGAATAATTGAAAAACAAGAATAATATTCAAATACTATGAGAATTAATGGAAAAGTAAGATAAATGATAAGTAATTTACTTATAATAAAATAAAAAAATTTATAAAAGGGAAAGGAAAAGGCATTATTATACTTTATAAGATGTTACTTAAGTAAAAGGAAATGAAAAATATAAATCAAAATGTGAATTTGCCTCATAAAAATGATTTTAAGCTTAATAATCCATAAAAATAAAAAAAAATTATTAGTAGATCAAATAAAAATAATTGGATGACAAATGAAAATAACAAAAAATAAAAAGCTTGAGATGAAAGAATGAAAGAAAATAAAGGAAAAGTAAAAGGATGGCAACCAAAAATGAAAATAGGAAAGGTAGAAGGAATTATTATTTTTAATATGACTAGTCTATTTAGTCTCTATCTTAGTGTTTTGACTTGTGCCTCTTTTTTTTTTTGTGTGTGATATGATGATTTCTAGCTCAATTTTCATTTTGATTTTCATATAAGCTTTTGTAGTTAGAAAGTCATTATTTTTTTGTGGAAGACTTTTACATAGTATGACTCATGGCTATTGTTGTTTTTCATATGCTTCATTATTAATAGTTTAGCACTTAAATTCATTTAGGATTAAGTTGACCATGCCATGTTCCCTTTCTAGTTCAGTCACTTAATGGCATGACTTAAGCTATATGTCTTTTATGCATCATTTTCTAGCTATACATGAAAAATATCAAACATTCTTGTTGGACTTCTCTTCATAAACTTACTTATATATGGAACCAATGTGCAGTTCATATCATTTTCTTTATGTACCTCTGGGACTAAGGAATTCATGAGGATTGCCTCCTCATTGGCCTCTTCAAGGAATTGAAACATGATCAACAAAGTGGGGAGCAAACTCTCTTATTAACTAAGCTACAACTACATGACTCAATTTGAAATATTGGCCCTTAACTTTTACTTGTCTCTATAAATTGTCTTGTTATAAATGCCTTTAACTAATTTACATCAATAAGTATGATTATGATCTTTCTACAAATAAGCTCCATATGTTCATGAAAAGATTACTATAACAATTCATAAGCTCTAAAAGGTAAGCATTATACAAAATATTACATGCTCAAGAATTCTTAATGGTATGTTTGAGTTGAGGGGAATGAAGTGGAGGGGAGGCAATGGGAGAAAATTCCTCTATTTAGTTATCAAAAGAATTGAAAGGGGTAGGAGGGGAAGGAAGCCTTTTACTTTATTTTTTCTTTTAATGCATTTGCCTTCCCTTCTTCTCCCTTTCCCCTTCGTTGCTTTTAACCCAAATATACTATAAAGGTAATTATGCATGAATATCAATGGGCACTACAATCAAACACACTTTATTGTAATACATTAGACTGAATATATGTAAGGTAAAAAAACATGAACAAAGTTAAATAAAAAAACTAAACATATGTATCAAAGGGTTATTTCTCAAAAGTGAAGCTTTCAATAGACAATTCATTTTTTTCAATTCCACTCTAAGTTCCTTGTTAAGACATAACTCTTCATCAAGACTAGTCATTTTCATCTATTGACTTTTCCATCAATAATACCTACAAAACAATTCAAGTTTGTGTTTTTGATACCCCAATATTTTTTATGTTTCAATACCCAATGTTTTGCCACCAACAATACCTACAAAACAATTCAAGTTTGCATTTTTGGTGCCTAATGTTGGTTAAAATATTGTTTTAGTCCCTCAACTTCCCATGTTAGTACCAAAATTGTCCCTAAATTATCATTTTTGTACCAAAATGGCCTTTCCATTGATGGAAGTGCCAAGTGGCACATTAAATTGCCAAAATAATCTAAAGTTTTTTTAAAAAATAATGATGTGAAAAAAAAAAAAAAAAA